TTATTCGAGTACCAGCAGGCTTCACGGCTAAGCCTAAGTTGCGTATGATCTTGCCCTGTGAGCACAGGTGTGGCTTTGGAGACTCCAGAGTTTGAAATTGCCTGGTATGTCAGAAACCTGGACAGCAAACAGAATTTAGTAGAGAATTTGGCTCAACAATGCTCTAGTCTTTACAGTAAGATAAAATTGTTGCACAGACTTCTAATTTCTTTTTTTTAAATATTTATTTTATTTATTTCAAAGACAGAGTTACAGAGAGAGGTAGAGACAGAGAGAGAGGTCTTCCATCCAATGGTTCACTCCCCAGATGGCTGCAACAGCTGGAGCTGCGCCGATCCGAAGCCAGGAGCCAGGAGCTTCTTCCAGGTCTCCCACGTGGGTGCAGGGGCCCAAGGACTTGGGTCATCTTCTGCTGCTTTCCCAGGCCACAGCAGAGAGCTGGATGGGAAGTGGAGCAGCCGGGACTCGAACCAGCGCCCATATGGAATGTCATTGCTTCAGGGAAGGGCATTAACCCACTACGCCACAGCGCCGGCCTCCAGACTTCTAATTTCAATTTTGTTCTTTTTCAATGAAATAGCTTGCCTTTGAGTTACGCACAAGTGGAAGCTCTGGTGTAGGGAATCCCACAGCAATGCCATAGCTGGAGTGAAGGGGATAGGATAGAAAAGGGAATAAGTTGATTCCAATACATTGATTGGAAATGTTTATGGGAGCAGATCATTGACTATAATCCTGCTTTGCAAATTTTAGAGGCTTGGGTTTTATTATATAGACAATGGAGAGCCACTGAGGGATGTATTCAATATGTAGATGCGTGTGCTTATTTTTATTTCCACAAAATGAAAACATCCTGTAACTTCCACCCAGGTCAAGAGACGAATCACTTTGAGCACTTGGAAGTTCACCTCCAATTGTTACCAACTACTTTCTTCATTCCCCCATAAATAATACACTCTCCTGACTTCCAACACCAGCGATGATTATTTGTGTGTTCTTGAACTTGATATAAATAACTTTGCTTAGTTGTTATGCAATAATGCATTGCATGAAGACCCACAATTCACTGGTCTACTTGATTGAGATGCCAGGGCTTAACTATTCTCAATAGCACTATTATGAACACTCTTGTACCAGTCTTTTGATGCACATGGACACAAATATTTATCTACATCTATATATATATATGTAAAGATATAGTTGGATATAGATAGATATCTCTGACAAAATATATAGTTGTGAAATTGATGAGATGTAAGATGTGTGTATGTTCAACTTTAGTAGCTAATACCAAAGATTTTAAAATGACTTTATTCATTGACATTTCCATTAGCCATGACAAATGTGAAACGGAGACAAGCTCAGCCCTGTGCTTCAGGACACAGAATCCAGCTGCCATGTGTCAAAGAGTCTAGGTGTGACCATAGAATGCAGAACTGGAGGACTGCTTTGCTCAAACACTGTGAAAAAAAGAAGATTCTGATCTTCAAACACAGAAAGGCTAGGAGAGGTCAGCCAATGATTGGAAAGAAAGACAAAAATGAACAGGGGTTTTATTGCAATGAGTTTGCCACCAGAATATAGGTGTTGTGAAAACCACCACTAAATAAAAGCCAAAATGGGAAAGGAAAACGCTCACATCTGCATTGTCATCATTGGACACATAGATTCGGGCAAGTCCACCACCACTGGCCATATGATCTACAAATGTGCTGGCACCCACAGAAGAACCATTGAGAAATTTGAGAAGGAGGCTGCCGAAATGGGCAAGGCCTCCTTCAAGTAAGCCTGGGTCTTGGATAAACTGGAAGCTGACCATGAGTGTGGTATCACCATCGACATCTCCCTGTAGATCATCTCCCTGTGGTTTCTCTGACTATCCTCCCTGTAGACCAGCAAGTGTTATGTGACTCTCATTGATGCCCCAGCACACAGAGACTTAATCAAAAACATGATTACAGGCACATTTCAGGCTGCCTGTGCCGTTCTCATTGCTGCTGCTGGTGTCAGGGAATTTGAAGCTGGTATCTCCAAGAATGGACAAACCCGTGAGCTTGTGGCTTACACACCAGGTGTGAAACAACTAATGTTTATGTTAACAAGATGGCCTTCACTGGGCCACTCTACAACCAGAAGGAATATGAGGAAATAGTGAAGAAGGTCAGGACCTACATTAAGAAAACTGGCTACGACGCTGACACGGTAGCACTTGTGCCAATCGCTGGTTGGAATGGTGACAACATAATGGAGCCAAATGCTAATGTGCCATGGTTCAAGGGATGGAAAGTCACCCACAAAGATGGCAATGCCATGCTTGAATCTCTGGATTGTCTCCTCCCACCGACTAACCCAATTGATAAGCCTTTGCGTCTGCCCCTACAAGATGTCTACAAAATTGGTGCTATTGGTACTGTCTGTGTGGGCCGAGTGGAGACTGGTGTTCTCAAACCTGGCATGGTGGTAACTTTTGCTCCAGTCAACATCGCAACTGAAGTCAGATCTGTTGAAATGCACCATGAAACTTTGAGTAAGGCTCTCCCTGGGGATAACATGGGCTTCAATGTCAAGAATGTGTTTTGTCAAAGATGTTTGTCATGGCAACGTTGCTGGTGACAGCAAAAATGACCCACCTGGCTTCTATCCAGGTCAAATCAGTGCTTGGTACGCCCCTGTACTGGATTGTCACACAGCTCACATTGCTTACAAGTTTGCTGAGCTGAAGGAAAAGGTTGATCTTCATTCTGGAAAGAAACTGGAAGATGGCCCTACATTCTTGAAATCTGGCAATGCTGCCACTGTTGATATGGTTCCCAGCAAGCCCATGTGTGTTGAGAGCTTCTCTGACTATCCACCTCTGGGTCATTTTGCTGTCCATGATATGAGACAGACAGTTGCTGTGGGTGACATCAAAGAAGTGGACAAGAAGGCTGCTGGAGTGGCAAGGTCACCAAATCTTCCCAGAAAGCTCAGGAGGCTAAATAAATATTATCCCTAATACCTGCCCCAGTCTTAATCAGTGGTGGAAGAATGGTCTCAGAACTTTTTGTCTCAATTGCAAAATAGTAAAAGACTGGTTAATGATAACAAAGCATTGTAAAACCTTCGGAAGGAAAGGAGAATGTTTTGTGGACAATTTTTTTTGGTCTGTGCCTGTTTTAAATTATTAGTTTTTAAAATCAGTGCTAATTTTTAATGGAAACACCTTGACCAAAGATCTGTCACAGAATTTTGAGACCCATTAAAACCAGGTTTAATGAGGGAAAAGGAAGTAAAAATTGAGTTTTCAATGTAGCTGTGTGGGAGACAGTGGTGTCAGGAGAACCAGAGACCTCGTGAGTATAGACTGAGTTAGGATGAGGTTAGGGTGTGGGTGGGAATCTAAGAGTAAGTGGCAGAAAGACAACTGGAAGTGGAATTTAAAAAATTCCTCCAGGTATTAACAGCAATTCCATTAAGGTGCTTTTCCACAGCATTATTATCACAGATGCTGGTTTAGAAACCTACCATCAAATAATACTGGTTTAAGACTTGTTTATATATACACAATCACCTAATCATGCCCCTAGAGTTTTCATTAAACTCTCCCCATCAGTAATTTCCAAGTAGGGTGAACTATAGATACAGTAGTTTAGGTTCATAAGATGCATGCCTTATGTTTTATATGAAACCATAAATTATAAATATCTCTTAGATACCTTTTCATTGACTGTATAGCTAGTGGCTTGGTACAAGTTTCTGTCACCATTTGCCTGACCCACTGTCAAAACTTCTTAACTAATGCACTCTACACAATACATCCAAAGTCTTTCAAAAATGTATATCTTGGGGCAGGCTACTGCTTAGGATGCCTGAATCCCACATCAGAGTGCCAGGGACTCCGTTCTGCCTCGGCTTCCCATCCAGCACCTGCTAATGTGTGTTAGAGACAGCAGCATATGACTGCTTGAGTACCTGAGTCCCTGACACCCACATGGGAGACCCACATGGCGTTCATGGCCCAGCCCTGGCTGTTGTGAATATTAGGGAAGGAACAGTGGGTGGAAGATCTCTCACTCTCTCTCTCTCTCTCTCCTCTCTCTCATTCTCTATCTTTCAAATAAACAAAAAGGAATAAACATTAGAAAATTAACTACAGGGCTGGCACTGTGGTGTAGCACATAAAGCCGCTGCCTGCAGTGCCAGCATCCCATATGGATGCTGGTTTGAGACCTGACTGTTCCACTTCCCATCCAGCTCTCTACTATGGCCTGGGAAAGCAGTAGAAAATGGCCCAGGTCTTTGGGCCCCTGGACCCATGTGGAAGACCCCGAAGAGGCTCCTAGCTCCTGGCTTCAGATCAGCACAGTTCCGGCTGTTGTGGCCATCTGAGAAGTGAACCAGTGGATGGAAGACCTCTCTCTCTCTCTCTCTCTCTCTCTCTCTGTAACTCTGCCTTCCAAATAAATAATCTTTTTAAAAAAAAATAAAATTAATTAACTATGAATAAAAAGTTAATTAAAGTACATATGTGAACATCTCACTTAAAAATCTGTTGCTCCCTTTATTTTCATAATAAACAAACACCTCCATGAGTCAACCATCCTCATTTCTTTTTTTTTAATTAATTAATTAATTTATTTATTTGAAAGTCAGAGTGACACAGAGTGAGAAGGAGAGGCAGAGAGAGAGAGAGAGAGAGGTCTTCCATCCACTGGTTCATTCCCTAATTTGCCACAACAACTGGAGCTGCGCTGATCCAAAGCCAGGAGCAGGAGCTTCCTCCAGGTCTCCCACTGTGGTTGCAGGGGCCTGAGCACTTGGGCCATCTTCCACTGCTTTCCCAGGCCATAGCAGAGAGCTGGATTGGAAGTGGAGCAGCCGGGTCTCCAACCAGCACCCATATGGGATGCCGGCGCTGCAGGCAGCAGCTTTTTCCGCTATACCACAGTGCCAGCCCCCACCCTCATTTCTTACTATTCCTTCCTTATGATTTCTGCCTCAGGGTAGTTTCTCAGACTCACTTTTCTATTTCACGCATGCAGGCCTTTGGGTGTCTCATTTCTCCTGCCCAGGACACCAGTCCTTCCTGTGAAGATTCTTTTCATGATGCAGAATTCTGCTCTGGAATATACAGACATAAACAATGGAAAAAAAGCAGACAGTTGGAGCAAAGGGAAGCTTTTCTGAACATGTAGGATACTGGTCGCTAAGAATCATTTACTATTTTAGTCTCAATAAAAGTATGTGACTTCCAGTCATAATATACACAAAATGTGTTTAAATCAATAAAACAATTTAAAATATAATAAAAATTAAGCACTTAAATTACAGAGGATTGAGTGCAGATTTTCATCATAGAATATTTTCTTAATTTATGAGGCCTAAAATTTTCAAATTTTCTCACAAATTTATTTCTTAATGTCCCGTGGCAATAATAAGAAAATTAACATGATTGCTTAATGAGAGAAATACTGAAGCTTATTTAAGAATTTATTGAATGATTAAAATGATTGATTTTGAATAAGATTTGCAGAATCCTATTTTTCAAAGACTAAAATTATAAAAATTATGAAAAACAACCAATGTAATAATTGGTTATAATATTGGTTATAATTGTAATAAATTGCTTATAATAATTGGTTATAATTGTAATAAAAATGTAAACAATTAAATTAAAGAATAAAATTCATCTTCTCATCTGGATTTCAAGGCTGTTTTCCATAAATGACCACAGGTAATGTTTTTGTGAAGTTCTTAACATCATCCTGCATTTACAAGTGTGTTTAGGCCTACAGCATAGCCATTTAAATATATTTAAATTTTTTTATACAAGTGATTTCTCAAATGACACTTTGCATTTGACACTCTATCCTGAACAGTTTCCACTTTTTAACCCTTTCCTCGTTGGGCTATGTGGACGTGCTGTAGCATTATTTATCCAGCTGTCTACTGACGCACAGAGTGCTTCCAGAGTTGAATGTGGGGGGACCTCTGTCCTGAGCCAATAAGTGTTTATTCCTCTGGTTTTCTGATTGTCTTTATCCGAACCTTTGGGGAAGCAAGCGAGTTGGGAACGCAAGACTGGGATTGCACCTGTGCAATTCCTGACAGTGTCCCGGAGGAAGGCTTCCGAAACCACATTCACCAGCTGTTCCCAAGATTCAGACGGGCTGGAGGGACTGTGCAGACTGGGTATGGGCGGCTCGCAGAACCCAGTTCGGATGACTGCAGCTGGCCATGCTGGGGGTGGTTGGGGGGAGACCCCCAGTGCTTCAGTCCTAACAGGAGGAAATTCGCCCAAAGTCCTCAGTGAGGGACCAGGGAGGGAGGGAGACAAACAGAAGGCCAGAGTTCTCACATACAGTGACTCTGAACCATAGCGAGGGCATTCGCCCAGCAGCTGAATGGTCCCCATCAGACGACCTGGATTCAACGCCAGCTCCAGCTCCTGCCTCTAGTGTCCTGTTAATGTGGAACCTGAGAAGCAGCAGTGATGACTTAAGCAGTTGAGTTCCTGCCACCCATGCAGGAGACCTGAACTGAGTTCCGAGCTCCCGGCTTCGGCCCTGGCTCCGCCCCAGCTCTCACAAGCATGTGGGGAGTGCTCCATATAGTGCTCTTTTTATCTTCCAGTAGCTACTTGTGCAGTTCTATGGTATCCATTCTTTCCTTTCAAAAATAACTCCAGGGTGAGTGTTTAGCCTACTAAGTTAGATGTAGCTTACAATGTCCAGGTCCCATGTTGCGATGTTGGGGTTTCATTCTGGACTCTGATTCCCGACTCCAGCCTCCTGCCATTGTGGATCTTGGGAGGCTCAGTGATGGCTCAAGTCACTGGGTTCCTGCCACCCACATGACAGACTCGGATTGAGTTTTCAACTCACAGTTTCAACCTCAGCCTAATCCTGGCCATTTCAGGCATTTGGGGAGAAAAACAATGGATGGTCAATCTCTCGGTCCATCTGTGGCTGTATGTGCGTGTGTGTCTGTGTGTCTGCTTCTCTCTGTAATTCTGCCTTTCAAATAATAAATAAATAGCTTTAAAAAATTTTAAAGAAAGATAACTCAACAGAAGTAAATCCACCTTCACTAACATCTCAAGTTGCTAAAGATTTATTATGGCGCTTTAATTTCATAATGACAACAAGCATAGTCAGTAACACATATGAAAAGACAAGACTTAATAGTTCATTTTGAAGGGGAAAAATAATTTTTATGGGAAGGCAATGCCTGTGTTATGACTGTTATTTTTTATTTCCTATGGCTTTTACCTTTAATTGGGACTTTTGCAATCTTTACTGAAAGTTTTCATCTTGCTTAAAGTTGGAGAAAGATTAAGTGAGTTAAAAATCTCATGGAAACAATTTCATCATTATTCTCTGATTAAGAGGCATTGATTAAAATTGCTTTCAACAAGGAAAGACAGAAATGATCCTTAAAATGTCTTATGGCTTAGAATTTTATTATGTCAACTAACAGTTTACATTGTCTTCAGGCCTAATTGGCCAACGTATTTATGTAGCACTTGAGGGATGTCAGACGCCTGTGCCTGGGGTGGCCAGGCTGTTCTGACAAACAGCCAGGAAAGAACTTGAAACAGAGTGGGGACAGTCCACTTCTGCCAGCACGTCACAAGCTATTCAGTGACCATCTGACTGTTCTGCTGATTTGGTTGCCATACTTGGTAGTCTGAGGAATCTGGCTGGCTTCAGAAGTTGAGCAAAACAAAATACAACTGTGCCCAGCCACACCCTAGGGTGACTGTCTCCAAATACCAGTGCAAGTCCAAGGCTGAAGCACTTGAAAGGCTTGTATCCCAGTAGATCAAATCTTTATAAGACTGAGCCTTTAAAGAAAACCCTTAAGCGCATAAATGTTGTCATTTGCAGCAGTGTTTCGATGCGATTTTTCCTTTCCAATTATAAAGGTGGCTAATGCACATGATAATTACAGTTCCTTAAAAATTTATTCACTCCCGAGCAGATCAACTCAGAAGTGTTGGCACCGTTTCAGGCGTCCTTAACAACTGCTTGCCAAACCACTCTTTGATCCGGTGAAATCATCACAGGATTCAAAACAAGGCCTACAGCCTTTCGAGAATTCACATCTGAATGCCTCATTTCTGTCATTTCGCCTCCCTGCATTCGGTCTAAAAACTGATTTTTCTGTAGCAATGGCAAAGGAGTAAATGTTTCCCCCCCGTGGGATCTATAGTATGCTGTCTTTGTTTGCATTTAGCTATCATTTTCATTAACATTACGTGGAGGGTTTGTTACGAACAAAGATTGCACCTTGCCTTGTTGTTATAGATCTGAGCTACCTCCTCTGAATTCACTGCACAAGGCAGGGAAGGGCAGTTAAACAGATAATTACAAGGTTTTTTTAAAAAGATTTATTAATTTATATGCAAGGCAGAGTTACACATATGGAGAGAGAGAGAGAGAGATCTTCCATCCCCTGGTTCACTCACCAAATGGCTGCAACAGCCAAGACTTAGCTGGGACTCCTGGGACTCCTCATCTTCCACTGCTATTCCAGGCACATCAGCAGGGAGCTACATTGGAAATGGAGCAGCCGGGATGCTCGAATGGGGATACCAGCATGGTAGGCAACAACTTAATCAACTGCACCATAGTACCGGCTCCACAGTGTAGGTTTTTAAGTAAAGGCAGGACACAGAAGGAACAGAAATAGGGCTCAGCGTCCCCAGTGGAGTCCAGAAAGCTTCCCAGGGGAGGTTACTGTTGAGCAGAGCTTTGAGGGCGGATAGCAGCAACAGGTGACAAAAGGCAGTGCTGGAGACAGAAGCAATAGCCTACCAATGAGGAAGCGGGACAAATTCCAGAAGCTGAGAAGGTTTTTGCTGGTCCTGAAATTCTTCCCCTCATGGAGTAGCTGGAAAAGAGCTCAAGAATACCCTGTTTTGTTTTGTGTGTGTGTGTTTTTAAGATTTATTTTTTATTTATTTGAAAGGCAGGATTACAGAGAGAAGAGAAGAGGCAGATCTTCCATCCACTGGTTCATTCCCCAAATGGCTGCAACGGCCAGAGCTGGGCCAAGCCAAAGCCAGGAGCCAGGAACATCTTCTGGGTCTCCCACACAGGTTCAAGGGTCCAAGCACTTGGGCCATCTTCCACTGCTCTCCCAGGCCACAAGCAGGGAGCTGGATCGGAAGTGAAGCAGCCATGCCAGCACCACGGCTCACTAGGCTAATCCTCCACCTGCGGCGTCGGCACACCGGGTTCTAGTACCGGTCAGGGCACCGGATTCTGTCCCGGTTGCTCCTCTTTCAGGCCAGCTCTCTGCTGTGGCCCGGGAAGGCAGTGGAGGATGGCCCAATTTTTGGGCCCTGCACCCGCATGGGAGACCAGAAGGAAGCACCTGGCTCCTGGCTTCGGATGGGCGCAGCGCGCCGGCTGTAGCGGCCATTTGGGGGGGTGAACCAACGGAAAGGAAGACTTTTCTCTCTGTCTCTCTCTCTCACTGTCTAACTCTGCCTGTCAAAAAAAAATAAAAATAAAAAAATAAAGTCAATGTGGACTTGTAGAAGACTTGAGTGAAGAAATGACATGACATGATCACCATGGGGTCTTGGATGGATAACGCTAAGGGACTGTAGAAAAGTTAAATAAGTGTTTGCACAGGATGAACACATCTAGAATGAAACTCTTGGGGTCTGAGGAGAAAAGCTGGGCCTGGAAATAGCATTGGGGAGTTTGAGCCTCGCTCTCTGCAGGTCAGAAAGTGGGGGTTGGGCAGGACAAGGGTTTGACCTAACACTGGAGATGTATGCATCCCGCATTGGAGTGCATGGGCTGGGTGCCCACCTTTGGCTTCTGGCTAACGAAGACCCTGCAAGGCAGTGGTGATGGAAATAAATGAGTCCCTGCTACTCACATGGAACCCCTGGATTGAGTTCCTGTCCTCTGGCTTCACCGTGGCCCAGTTTGGCCATTGCAGGCATTTGAAGAATGAATCTGTCTCTTTTTTTCTCTCTCTATATTTATCTCTCTCTCTCCTTTTTTTTTTTTTTTTTTTGGACAGGCAGAGTGGACAGTGTGAGAGAGAGAGAGAGAAAGGTCTT